TGAGAAAATGGAATTGACTCGAGAAAATTCAAGAGCGATGATTTATTATGACTTTCGAAGTAGTTTAACACAAAAACAGTGTGTTGACCGGATGATTTCTGCATTTGGTGATGAAGCCCCATCCAAAACCACAATTTATCGCTGGGTTGCTGAATTTCAACGTGGACGTGTCAAGCTCAGTGATGATCCCCGTCAAGGTTGTCCAAAAACTGCAGTCACCCAAGAAAACGTTGATGCTGTGCGTAAGCTGATTGAGGAAGATCGACATGTGACATACCGCGAAATTCAGGCAACTTTAGACATTGGCATGAGTCAAATACAAATAATCTTGCATGAACAATTAGGTGAAAAAGTTGTTTTCCCGATAGATACCGCATTCGCTCTGTGAAGAGCAAAAAGCGGCTCGCGTTACTTGGTGCATCAGAACTCTCGAAAGATTCCACGCAGGATCCTCAAATGCTGTATACAACATCGTATCAGGGGACGAATCCTGGATATACGCGTACGAACCAGAAACAAAAAACCAGTCACGAGTTTGGGTGTTCGAAAATGAGTTAAAGCCAACAAAAATTGTTCGTTCACGGAGTGTTGCAAAAAAAATGGTGGCCACGTTTTTCTCCAAAACCGGCCATGTTACGACTATTCCTCTTGAGGGACAAAGAACGGTTAATGCAGAATGGTATGCTAGCATTTGTTTGCCACAGGTCGTTTCTGAACTCCGTAAAGAGAACTGCAACCGCCGCATCATCCTCCATCACGACAATGCGAGTTCTCACACCGCACACAGAACAAAAGAGTTTTTAGAGCAAGAAAACATAGAATTATTAGACCATCGGCCGTATAGCCCCGACCTAAGCCCTAATGATTTCTATACTTTCCCTAAAATAAAGAATAAATTGCGTGGACAGAGATTTTCATCACCTGAAGAAGCTGTGGACGCCTACAAAACGGCCATTTTGGAGACCCCAACTTCCGAATGGAATGGTTACTTCAATGATTGGTTCCATCGTATGGAAAAATGTGTCAAATTTCGCGGAGAATACTTCGAAAAGCAATAAATACATTTTTAAATGGTGATGTTGTGTCACTTCCTTGATTCCCGCAATTTTAAGTGCCGCCCTCGTACTAGCTGGCAAAGAGAATATAATCACTACGTTTAAGAGACGGGACTTCCATAGTAAAAATAATTGCATGAAATTACGCCAAGTTACTCTACCAACATCAAGATATACATTTAGTTTTGAGAAACAGTTCTGACAACATTGACGAATTACAATAGTGCTGTAAATGTCTATCCTCGAATAATTTTATCGATATAACGTTTATCGATACATTGTTTATCGATATTTTTACATAAGACAAGTTAGATCTCTATAGTGAATTATTTATGAGAAATAATTTTTTTAACGTGTGGATTGAGTAAAAATGCCGATGAGGATAAGTAATCAATGTATTTTACACATAGCAATTTGTATTTATATCTCTACAATTAGGTACAAAAGTATGTATAAAGAAAATATAAAATAAAAAACTTTTATACTAGTAATTAATTAAGTAAAAAATAAATGACGACTCCGTAGCGCAGTGGCTAAGCGCTTGGCTGCGGCATTGCAGGACCGAGGCTTCCTTCCCGCACTGAACAATTGTTGCTATGCTGTAAAATAAATAGTCTGCATCTGGATGCTTGTTTTCAACGTTGGTTTTTTTAAGGGTAAAAATATTGGGTTTTTAATACTGATTGGATTAAATTGCTTTTATGTGTAACAAACAGGGATGGAAAAAATCATGATTTTTTTAATTTTAATCAAATCATGCTGATTTATTTAAAAAAATCATGATTTTTTTGATTTTTTTTGAATTTTTTGATTATTATTTGTATATTTGGAAATTCACGAGTTGGTAACACTTTTTGACATAGTAGGATTAAAATTTTATGAATACACTAGCTGTTCTTCGCGACTTCGCCCGCGTGTTATTTGAGGTTTTAGTTTTTTTGCGCGGAACCCTAATTCTTTTTCTAAAATAAAAGTAGCCTATGTTACTCCTTAAATTAAAAAAATCATGATTTTTTCCATCCCTGGTTTTGAGATCTGTAAATTCCTCAACTTTCAATTTCAATGTTTTATACGTTTTCAATACGTAATCTGCTTCATTATAACATTATTTACGTAGCTATATTCTAGTTTTTATTTATAGATTATATTTAGCTTATTTAAGTCGAAATATAGATATAAAATGACTTTCATTTCATACCTAATGTGTAATGTGTAATGGTGTAATGAGTCGACGAGAAAAAACGCGCGAAAATGAATCTATAAATAACTGAAATGAGAAGCTAATCTTGCGACGACTACGACGAAACTAAAATTGACAATTCCAGCTCGGCGCAGATTTTTAGGAAGAAGCAGAATTTTAGGAAGATAGGAAGCCCTCATATAATCTCATTCATTCAATACAGCCTATCAAAAGTTCACTAAAAGTAGCCTATGTTACTCCTTATGACATCAGCTATCTGCCAGTGAAAGTCCCGTCCAAATCGGTCCAGCCGTTTCAGAGATTAGCCGGAACAAACGGACAGACAGACAAAAATTAAAAAATTGTGTTTTTGTTATACGTTATCGTATATACTTTCATATGCATTTAGTAAAAAGCCGTAATTTTGACATTAAAAACAGACACTTCAATTTTATAACAGCTTTTAGTTTTTTTTTTAATTTTTTTTGGGCACTTGTTTTGGCCGTTCACTGCCGCCTGTTTGCGGAAAACCCACAGCGGCTCACTTAGCGGTTAGCCACCGTAGAGTCTATATCACCTGAGGATGCCTCGTTTAGAGGCGAAACACGTGTCGTATTATCGTCAGTGGTGTGTCTTGCCTAGTGTAGTGGTGTTGGGAGTAGCGGTGCTGGGATTAGTGGTGACGGGGATAGTGCACGCAATTGAGGGAGGGCGGGAGGTGCTCTTCATACTAGGTACGACACATCATTTTATTTTATAACGCGGATATTTGCGAAGTAAATTTTTCTAAAAGCTTTTATATAATGGATTTCCGCAAAGTAACGCCTGATTCTATTAATTATACTTCAATTTTATTTATTTGTATAGATGTATGAAACTGATTAAGAGTAAAATAATTAATTTGTATTTTATTGTATTAATTACATATATTAAGGGTGAATCTATACAAATTTTATATCTATCTATTTTATATTTATCTATATAAATTTTACCGTTTAGGTACTCATAACAAAAACACAATTTTTAAAATTTTTATCTGTCTGTCTGTTTGTTCCAGCTAATCTCCGAAACGGCTAAACAGATTTTGACGGGACTTTCACTGGCAGGTAGCTGATTTCATAAGGAGTAACTTAGGCTACTTTTATTTTAGAAAGATAATTAGGGTTCCGCGCAAAAACATATAAACCCTAGCACGCGAGCGAAGTCGCGGGGAACAGCTAGTTTCTAAATAAAATTGATTTTACTAAGTTTATGAGACTGACAGACCTCATCGCTACGTCTTTGTGTTGATTTTCCAAAGTTTATGAGACTATTGTAGTAGAATAATAAGAATAACATAAAACAACAAAAGATTTTACCTTATTTTAAGCCAGTTTTATTTCATTATCTGCCTATTACATTAATTTATACAAGTTGATTTAAATCAATGATTTTATTAATCAAAATCAAGCGATTTAAATTGTGATTTAAATCAGTCTGATTTAAATCAGCCAACCCTGGTAACAAATACTATGTACAAATCGCTAGGCTTCTTCACACAGGCACCTATGTACATACTATTCGCAGAGATCGTTTACTAATTGTCGCTTTCAAAATAAGTGCTCATTATAGCTAATGTTTATTGATGAATAAAATAATGATTTAGTTATATAATCTTATTCTTGTCAAAATGTGACTTTAGAGGGATATTATCTTTTGCTACATGTAAATGAAACTTAACATACACATAAATTGTGGAAGTTTAAAGTAAGTCCACTATTATGCAATATTTGTCACAAATATGTCTTAACATGTGAATCTTTTCCATTGGTGCATGTGCCAGCTATTTCACCCATTGCTTGCATCTGAAAAAATAATATAAATAAAATCACATTATTATTGAACAAATAGAATGTTAGCAGTCAGAATTGACTTGTAGTTTCTAAGTATAGTTCGTTTCGGATTGCCAAACCATCGAACTATCAGATTTAGGAAATAGTGTGTTTGTATTGTGCACACAATCGTACACTATAAAAACATGTCCTACATAGATGGCTAGTCCAAAAATATACTCGCGTTGAATATCATATTACTATTAAAGTTGAAATCACCACATACCTTTCATGATCTAAGGGAAATGTTGTTACCAATAGCCTTTTCTTGTTATCATTTTTTCCGCTTCTTGCACCATTTAATTGGAAAGTTTTATAATGCTTATTTAATTTTTCAACAATTCTGTAAATGAACAACGGCTCCTATAGCAAAATTAAAAGCAATCTTAATTAATAAACTATATACAAATATAATTGTTTGATTTGACATTTGAACCTATTTCATTTGACAATGTCGTTAATAGACATATCACAAAAAGCATAAAGAAGAGTAACCGGCATTAAAATTTGACCCCTGTAGTACATATAATTTTTACTATGGAAGTTGCACCAGCCTGCTAGCTGGTACCCGACGCGTTGCTGCCGCTGAAGAAATTATTATGGCAATATCGTTTTAAATTTGGAATTAGAGTTATATTATTTAGGAATGATTATACACTCATTGAAATTGAATGATAGGTATATGACTTTCAAATAAATTTGTCGGTACGATACGCGTGCCACCTTGTGTAAGTTAATTGTACTATACATTCTTAAAACTTTAACCATCGTGCAAATGCAAGCCATAAGTTAACAAAGTTTAAAAAAAAACAACTCTAAATAACACTAGAACATGTGCATATATCTATTTTTGTAGTTATCGTGTTTGTATAATATGTATTATGTTCTTTACAGGCTGTTCGACAGTCCTCACACGCCCAAGACCCTGCTGGAGAAGTGCTCTACTCCATCGCACCCTCCGCCGAGGTCGAGACTTTTCCCGCCAAAAGTCACTGTCAGTGCGCCCACAGGTGAGTTCTGCTTATTCCAGAATAATTGTGTGAAAATGCGTTTTCATATGTATGACAGAAAACACAGTAGTAAGTACTGCGAAACAAGCCCTATAGTTAAAAAAAGTAATTAAAAAACCCGACTGCAAAAAAAAAAAAACTGTTAGTCGTAGGGGTCTGCACGTCAGTTTGTGAAACTAAGAAGTATTTTTTATTATAAATTATCTTTATCAACGTATTAATATAGTAATAAAATTTCATTTTTGCGCTGTTTTACGTGAAAAATAAAATTATAATTTATATAATACAAAAAAAATTAATTTAAGCAATTGGTTTTTCAACATTACTTTCATCCATTTTATGTATGAGCGCGACGGTAACGCGAGTTCAGTGCTTTTTCACCATCCCAAAAGTGCGCAGCGTGCCCAAAGAAGTATTCACTTCAAAAATTCAACTGAAAAGAGAAAAAGAAAATAAGGTACGCGAGTGTAATATGGTCACCTTAAGCTTTGTCGCCCTATAAAACCAAAACTAGGTGGACGACAGAGATAAATACACAATGTCGTATACTATAACTCATATATTAAGAAAAAAAATCACTTCGAAAAATCAACTTAATGAAAACTAACTACACTATCCAGTACTAAAATCGACTAAAAAAACTGTCAAAAAGGCATCATTAAAGCGGCGCCCTTTTGAACCTTTATTATTTGAACGACTTATGAATTGATATCGTATCAAAGAGCTATCTATGCAAATACGGCTGTGGTTTTTGAGTTATAAGAGTGACCATGTTACCCTCACGTACTATACTCTTATGTGTGAAGTCACTCCCACAATGAAGACGAATCTAACGACACCTCATATGTAGACATCCATTACACGATTAGGCTACAGAGTTGCCAAAGGAATAGACATACATACATACTCTCTAAAAACATTACCCTCCTGTGGTAGTGGGGTAAAATCGACTAAATTTAAGAAATAAAGAAAGACGCGGTCCCCCTTTGACGGTTGTTACGGAATTAAATGTGCTAGCAGTGAAATATTGCAATTTGAACCTCCCGACGGAATTTCAGTCACGGCGGCAGGATTATGGAGTCCCTATATTTATCGATGCGGAATCGGCTTAACCCGAGTACGTATCACACCAAACTACTCGACTTAACGGCGATCAGCTGTTTTAACGGTTATTCACAAGCGATCGGAAATCGACTCCTTCGAATAGCCGTCGCGGCGGCTGTTCACTTGCATTCGGCAGTCGATTCCCTAAAACGACCGTCGCGCCGGCTATTTTCTTATGTTCGGCAGTAGACTCCTCCGAACGGTCATCACGACGGCTGTTCACGTTCGTTCGGCAGTCGACTCATCGTTCATCATTCGACTGTTGTCCATCGCCGTTCGGCCGTCTTCTGCGCCGTTCGGCTGCCGTCGGAAGCTTAAACACATCTACGTGGGCGTTCGGTTACTTTCAGCGCCGTACGGATGTGATCGACGGCTGAGGTCGCGAGTCGCGACGCTTCGTCCGAGCCGAGCCGATGAGAATGGCATTAGCAACACGCGTATTTAGTAGATATAAAGGTTTTTCTGACTGGCTGAAGCCGATTCCGCGTCGATAAATGTGGGGACTCTGTTATAGTGCGCGCCTGTGTGCGTAAACAATAGTGCACTCTCTATTCACTCACTCTCATAGTCCGTTGGGACGATAACCGATACGCCCGTAGATTGTTCAATTTGTAGAATTACAATATTTATATTTTTTTATTTAAGAAGTAAAGGTGACAAATAAATACTCATCCCACCTGGTAATAAAACTGGCGCTAAAACTTTTAATATAAATCCTTTATAAAAAAAATCGTTTGTGCTTAACAGTTAACTGGGCAATCTAAGTGAAAGTTGTCCTAGATTACGCCTTGTTAACATTTAGTCCGCGTATTTTAAGCAGTTTTAAAAAAAAAGTAGGACAATTTCAATTCAAGTGTATATTCTATTATTTTTGTATATATTTCATTCGTGATGGACCAATATTAATAATTCTTTATTTATTAAATGGAAAAAAGGTTATAAATACAACATATAAATTTAATGAAGGTCTGACCAATAGCTTTTGACTTATTCTTAATAATTTATATTGAAGTCGGTTGTACAAAATTATTTTTGTTACTGTTATCGCTATCAACAATTATTTATCAGTGAAAGCTCCCTAGAATTGGAAAAGCCCATGTTCAGCCGTGGATTTTTACATGCTAATAAAGATCTCTTACAGTGTAAGTCGTAAGCCTTGTAAGACTTACACTGACACATAACACTATAATATATGCTTTACGTGGTAGAGCCATGCTACATCTATATTATGGTTGTAGCACAAATGGGTCGGCTCGACCGGGGAAGGACCACGCTCTCACAGAATACCAGCGTAAAATAGCAGCTTTACGCTGCTGTGTTTCGTATGGTGAGTGTAGAAAACCGGAGACCCTTTTTACTGGAAATGAGGCATTCCATCTTAGTCCTCACGGGTGACAACGCATCTGCATTTTGATTTTTAATAGAGGATAGATATAGATGTCTATGGGCCGCAGCAACCACTTACCATCAGGTGGACTGTGTGCTCGTTTGTCACCCTTATCCGATAAAAAAAAAATACGAATTTAAAAAAGTAGAAGGTTTTAAATTCAACAACCAAAAAATCAGAATGCATGCGGAAGAACCTTATCACGATGAGAAACTGTTTACTGTAGCTTCTATTAATTGTGAAGATACATGGGTATAATTTTGTTCAGGTGTACCATCGGGTTCCAGTCATCACCTTCACCCACCATCCGGTGATGATGACAGCGCGATAGGCAGCTTACCACCTGATGAGTTGGACGATTCGCGAGCTCGACGACCTCTCGCCAACATCAATCCGTTTACACCAGATGGTAAGTAAAATCTTTATATAAAACTGGTCTTTTACTATAGTTTAGATGGGCATTCTTTTTAATTTTTTTGTTTTTATACAGGGCAAGCAATAAATAAGAAGAAAAGAGCTTTGTCAAAAACACCAACAATATGGGGGGAGCCATCACCCGAGCATCCAGCTAAACGACTAAGGGTTTGTTTTTATTTCTAATTATCTATTTTTTATGGAATTATAATTACAAACAAGCACTCAGTCCACCTAAAGGTAAGTGGATGCTGTGGCCTATATAGACATCTACATCTATCCTTGATTAAGAATTTAAATGCAGATGTGTTGTCACCCCTGAGGACTAAAAAGAATGCTTCTTTTCCAGTAAAAAGTCTCCGGTTCTCTATAGTCATAATACGAAATGCAGTATCATTAAGCTGCTATTACACACCGTTATTGAGTACGCAGTAGCATTGAACTGTTGTTTCATATTGGCATATATGGTGTGAGCATGGTCCTTCCTCAGTTGAACAGCATTTCTGTATAAATTATAATATTGCTGCTGCAGCTATATTATACGAGGTAATTATAAAACCAAGGAAAACATGAATGAAAATAACCCCTTGGAATAAGGTGATCACCACCATGCTGGTTCTATTACAATTCATATTAAAAATTGTACAAAATTATTGTAGTTTTTTAATGTTTTAAAAAATATAATCCTGTTGGGTTTCTTACTGGTTCTGGGAAGGACAGAGGTATTTTTGAAGTGGTAAAAAAATAACTCAATATGTACTATATTAAATAAAGATCATTCTGTTCTATTCTATTCAGTCTTGTTTAATTTACCATGTATCTGTGTGTCCGGTTGGCAGGAGTCGAACATCTCGCGGTACAACGTGGAGTTCCTGGAGCTGGACGTGGTGGGGCGGGGCGAGTTCGGTCGGGTGACGCGGTGCGTGAACAAGCTGGACGGGTGCGTGTACGCGCTGAAGCGGTCGCTGCGGCCCGTCGCCGGCTCGGCGGCCGAGCGCGCCGCGCTCACCGAGGTGTATGCGCACGCGGCGCTCGGCAAGCACCCGCACGTCGTACGGTGAGCTCGCACACGCACACACATGCACACACACACACACGCCGCGCTCACCGAGGTGTACGCGCACGCGGCGCTCGGCAAGCACCCGCACGTCGTACGGTGAGCTCGCACACGCACACACATGCACACACACACACACGCCGCGCTCACCGTGGTGTACGCGCACGCGGCGCTCGGCAAGCACCCGCACGTCGTACGGTGAGCTCGCACACGCACGCACACATGCACACACACACACACGCCGCGCTCACCGAAGTGTACGCGCACGCGGCGCTCGGCAAGCACCCGCACGTCGTACGGTGAGCTCGCACACGCACGCACACATGCACACACACACACACGCCGCGCTCACCGAAGTGTACGCGCACGCGGCGCTCGGCAAGCACCCGCACGTCGTACGGTGAGCTCGCACACGCACACACATGCACACACACACACACGCCGCGCTCACCGAAGTGTACGCGCACGCGGCGCTCGGCAAGCACCCGCACGTCGTACGGTGAGCTCGCACACGCACACACATGCACACACACACACACGCCGCGCTCACCGTGGTGTACGCGCACGCGGCGCTCGGCAAGCACCCGCACGTCGTACGGTGAGCTCGCACACGCACGCACACATGCACACACACACACACGCCGCGCTCACCGAAGTGTACGCGCACGCGGCGCTCGGCAAGCACCCGCACGTCGTACGGTGAGCTCGCACACGCACACACATGCACACACACACACACGCCGCGCTCACCGTGGTGTACGCGCACGCGGCGCTCGGCAAGCACCCGCACGTCGTACGGTGAGCTCGCACACGCACGCACACATGCACACACACACACACGCCGCGCTCACCGAAGTGTACGCGCACGCGGCGCTCGGCAAGCACCCGCACGTCGTACGGTGAGCTCGCACACGCACGCACACATGCACACACACACACACGCCGCGCTCACCGAAGTGTACGCGCACGCGGCGCTCGGCAAGCACCCGCACGTCGTACGGTGAGCTCGCACACGCACACACATGCACACACACACACACGCCGCGCTCACCGTGGTGTACGCGCACGCGGCGCTCGGCAAGCACCCGCACGTCGTACGGTGAGCTCGCACACGCACGCACACATGCACACACACACACACGCCGCGCTCACCGAAGTGTACGCGCACGCGGCGCTCGGCAAGCACCCGCACGTCGTACGGTGAGCTCGCACACGCACACACATGCACACACACACACACGCCGCGCTCACCGTGGTGTACGCGCACGCGGCGCTCGGCAAGCACCCGCACGTCGTACGGTGAGCTCGCACACGCACGCACACATGCACACACACACACACGCCGCGCTCACCGAAGTGTACGCGCACGCGGCGCTCGGCAAGCACCCGCACGTCGTACGGTGAGCTCGCACACGCACGCACACATGCACACACACACACACGCCGCGCTCACCGAAGTGTACGCGCACGCGGCGCTCGGCAAGCACCCGCACGTCGTACGGTGAGCTCGCACACGCACACACATGCACACACACACACACACGCCGCGCTCACCGAAGTGTACGCGCACGCGGCGCTCGGCAAGCACCCGCACGTCGTACGGTGAGCTCGCACACGCACACACATGCACACACACACACACGCCGCGCTCACCGTGGTGTACGCGCACGCGGCGCTCGGCAAGCACCCGCACGTCGTACGGTGAGCTCGCACACGCACGCACACATGCACACACACACACACGCCGCGCTCACCGAAGTGTACGCGCACGCGGCGCTCGGCAAGCACCCGCACGTCGTACGGTGAGCTCGCACACGCACACACATGCACACACACACACACGCCGCGCTCACCGTGGTGTACGCGCACGCGGCGCTCGGCAAGCACCCGCACGTCGTACGGTGAGCTCGCACACGCACGCACACATGCACACACACACACACGCCGCGCTCACCGAAGTGTACGCGCACGCGGCGCTCGGCAAGCACCCGCACGTCGTACGGTGAGCTCGCACACGCACGCACACATGCACACACACACACACGCCGCGCTCACCGAAGTGTACGCGCACGCGGCGCTCGGCAAGCACCCGCACGTCGTACGGTGAGCTCGCACACGCACGCACACATGCACACACACACACACGCCGCGCTCACCGAAGTGTACGCGCACGCGGCGCTCGGCAAGCACCCGCACGTCGTACGGTGAGCTCGCACACGCACGCACACATGCACACACACACACACGCCGCGCTCACCGAAGTGTACGCGCACGCGGCGCTCGGCAAGCACCCGCACGTCGTACGGTGAGCTCGCACACGCACGCACACATGCACACACACACACACACGCCGCGCTCACCGAGGTGTACGCGCACGCGGCGCTCGGCAAGCATCCGCACGTCGTACGGTGAGCTCGCACACGCACGCACACATGCACACACACACACACGCCGCGCTCACCGAGGTGTACGCGCACGCGGCGCTCGGCAAGCACCCGCACGTCGTACGGTGAGCTCGCACACGCACGCACACATGCACACACACACACACGCCGCGCTCACCGAAGTGTACGCGCACGCGGCGCTCGGCAAGCACCCGCACGTCGTACGGTGAGCTCGCACACGCACGCACACATGCACACATACACACACGCCGCGCTCACCGAAGTGTACGCGCACGCGGCGCTCGGCAAGCACCCGCACGTCGTACGGTGAGCTCGCACACGCACGCACACATGCACACACACACACACGCCGCGCTCACCGAAGTGTACGCGCACGCGGCGCTCGGCAAGCACCCGCACGTCGTACGGTGAGCTCGCACACGCACGCACACATGCACACACACACACACACGCCGCGCTCACCGAAGTGTACGCGCACGCGGCGCTCGGCAAGCACCCGCACGTCGTACGGTGAGCTCGCACACGCACGCACACGCACGCACACATGCGCACACACACACACACGCCGCGCTCACCGAAGTGTACGCGCACGCGGCGCTCGGCAAGCACCCGCACGTCGTACGGTGAGCTCGCACACGCACGCACACATGCGCACACACACACACACGCCGCGCTCACCGAAGTGTACGCGCACGCGGCGCTCGGCAAGCACCCGCACGTCGTACGGTGAGCTCGCACACGCACGCACACATGCACACACACACACACGCCGCGCTCACCGAGGTGTACGCGCACGCCGCGCTCGGCAAGCACCCGCACGTCGTACGGTGAGCTCGCACACGCACGCACACATGCACACACACACACACACACACACACACACACACACACACACACGCCGCGCTCACCGAGGTGTACGCGCACGCCGCGCTCGGCAAGCACCCGCACGTCGTACGGTGAGCTCGCACACGCACGCACACATGCACACACACACACACACACACACACACACACACACACACACACACACACACACACACACACACGCCGCGCTCACCGAGGTGTACGCGCACGCCGCGCTCGGCAAGCACCCTCACGTCGTACGGTGAGCTCGCACACGCACGCACACATGCACACACACACACACACACACGCACGCACGCACTTAACATACATGAACGCTCGCACGCACACACACATTGCTATATACACAATGTTTCACTCACGCACATCGCCTTACTCACTCACAGACATGGTCTTACTCACGCACACTGCTTCCCTCCTAATACTTATAACCCCTAACTAATACACTCGCACACATGTCCCTCATTCACTGACACACATTTCCTCCTTTACTCACACACATTTCTGCTTTCATTGCACAATGGGATGGCTCGACCAGAGTATATCCACACTCTTACATTATACCAGCGTGAAATAGTAGCTTAATGCTGCTGTGTTACCACCACCTTGGTTCTTATGTACACTTAACCTATCCATATTTTGATCAATTCAATAGCCTACACAGTATTCGCTTACCATCAGGTGGACTATTTGCTTATTTGTCACCCTTATGCTAAACTTATATTCTATTACTACAGCCCATCACAAGTCCACTGCTGAAAATAGATTGCCCCAAAGTATGGTCCAGAACCACCTGTATCCATCGACTGCCTGCATGTTTCATATTCAAACCTATATAAAAAAAATACATAATTATATTAAAGCTTTCGTGTTTGCTCGATCACAGATATTACTCAGCGTGGGCGGAAGACGACCATATGATCATCCAGAACGAGTACTGCGACGGTGGTTCCCTGCAGCAGATGATGGAGAGTGGGCCACTACCAGAGAACGAGTTGCTTTTGGTGCTTGCACATATAGCCGATGGTTTAGCGTGAGTATCGACATTGATATTATTGTGCCATTTTTTTAAATTATAAATCTTCCAGCAAGCTGATACCACATAACTTTAAAGTATTAGAGATGTTAAAAAAAATGCGGCAAAAACACAGATATTCGTAAGAAAACACAAATTATGTATATATAAAACATATTTTAGAGTGTAGTGGCAGTGTGAGATTATCCACTTACCCAAATCATCACGTGGGTGTCGTAAGAGGCGACAGAGGGAAACAAATCAGAAGATGGGCAGCAGCGTCTTCCTAATAACGTTTAAAAATAAAAAAAATACAGTTGCCAACCCACTTGCTAAGTATGGCAACTATGGTAAACATTCCCCTATGAGGCAATCTATTTGGGAGGTTTATGTTCAGCAGTGGACCTTTATAGGCTGTAATAGATGGATGGATGAAAGCACTGTACAAAGAGGAGACCGAAATAATAGGGATGATTGAATATTGTGCCCTACATCATTCTCTTGCAGGTTAAATTCTATAGATGTATGTGTTTGTCTATTTTAGTATCGCTTTTTCGTTTTGTCGAGTTTCAAATTTCGATGTAAAAGAAGTTTTCACTTTTAAAAAAATTAAAGAAAATTTAAAAAACTCCTGTTACAAAAAGAGCTTCAAATGGCTGAAAAGATTTTCTTGAATCATAGCTAAAAACGCTCTTGATCAAGTCACCTATAAACAACAAACAAACTAAAACTAAATTGGTTCATCTGTTTGGGAGCTACGGTGCCACAGACATGTACACAGATACACACGTTAAACGTATAACACCCCTTTTGTTTGGCCGGAGGTTGAAAACGTATTAGTAGATCGCTGCGCAAGTTGTAACTTGTTATATCAATGTATTAGTGCTCGTTTATAGTAGTATATATAGGTGTTTGAATTATACACATAGAGAACATGTATGTGATGTATATGTGGTGTGCAGGTACATCCACGCGCTGCAGCTGGTGCACATGGACGTGAAGCCGGGCAACATCTTCGTGTGCCGCGGCGAGGGCGCCGCCAACGACTCGGACGACGGCTACGAGGACGAAGACTCGCCGCCGCGCCACCACCACTCCCACCAGTACAAGATCGGTGAGCCGCCGCACCACCGCTCCCATTACTGACGCGCTTGTGCACCAATAACACCATCCCCAACACGTATTGCTGGACTTCATTATATGTGTTTTTATTATACACATATGAAGTCCATATTAGAAACATGACCTAGTTGTAGCCACGACTTATGGCCATAATTTTACAATGTCATCATTATGGCAATAGCTCCGGTTGGCGGTCTTTTTCGGATATCAAAGACGATTACCGCGGTAATTTTTGCGTCATGTGACCACACTACAGTTTGTTCAGTGTGTGACATGAGCTCAACGGAAACGAACGGCTTTCTGTGCATTTTTATCATCCACCATCTTCTTTTAAGTTTAGATTTAGCTTTGTTAAAATGTAAAAGATTCATGTAATGGTAACTGACACCACCGCAGATTCAACATGACATTTTTTCCGCCTAGTTGTCGTATCAAACTAATACTACTTCACACGGTAATTTAGACCGTAATTTAATGCCATAATCATTGCGCTAAACTGTCTACCGCAGGCGATAAGGTAGTGTGCGCGTAGCATATAGGGTTTTACACTATACCTGGTTTTTTAATTAGTTTGAATAATGGAATATTTATATTGTTTCAAAATTTCCCTGTTTCAATTTTGACAAAAGAGAACAAAATTAATTATTTAAAAAAATACCATACTGAACTAGTTAAAATATACAGCCTATATATGTCCCACTGCTGGGCGCAAGCGACTCCTCATTTCTGAGAGCGTTTTAGGGCAAGAAAGTGTCCACCGCGCTGCCCCATTGTGTGTAGGCGAACTTCACATGCCTTCGAAATATTTTTTTCTTATTTCTCAGACATGCAGGTTTCCTCATGATGTTTTCCTTCACCGTCGAGCATGTGGTAAATCAGCACTTAAAATTGCAATTAACAATTTCATTAGTGCCGGGGTTGCTCGTGTACTGTGAAATTTACAGCGAGCGCTAACCATGAGCTACTACAGCTCTTCTTTTTTTTTTCTTTTGAACTAATAATCACTAAGATTTAATTTATTATGTGATAAGCCACGACACCTGTATATGTCATTATTTTATTAATTTAATATATTTTGAGCAATAAGAGTACTAACTTTTTGTTTTTGATCCAGGTGACCTAGGACACGTCACGTGTGTCTCCTCTCCGACAGTGGAGGAAGGCGACTGTCGGTATCTACCTAAGGAAGTTCTCCAGGAAGACTTCACGCATCTAACCAAAGCCGACATATTTGCATTTGGTAAGTTATTCAAATATTACAATTTTTTTTATATAGGATAGGGTGACAAACTAGCACACAGTCCACCTGATGGTAAGTGGTTACTGTGACCCATAGATATCTACATCTATCCTCAATAAAGACTCAAGATGCAGATGCGTTGTCGCCTGTGAGGACTAAGATGGAATGCCTCTTTGCCAGTAAAAAGGGTCTCTATTTACTTTCATTAGTCAAATTGCCTTGTAGTATACCATCAAATAAATGCTAAATATAAAATATCCTTTTCAACGTGGTACAGCCACGCTGCAGCTATATTATGGTTGTAGCACGAATAGGTTCACTCAACCGGGGTAGGACCACTCTCACAGAATATCAACGTAAAATAGCAGCTTAACACTGCTGTGTTTCGTATGGTGAGTGTAGAGAACCGGAGACCCTTTTTACTGGAAATGAGGCCTTCCATTTCAGCTCTCAGGCACTCCTGCATTTTGATTCTTAATCGAGGATAAATGTAGATGTCTATGGGCCACAGTATACACACTTATGGACATGGTAGAGCCATGCTGCAGCTATATTAATAGTATAGTTGTAGCACGAATGGGTCGGCTCGACCGGGGAAGGACCACGCTCTCATAGAATACCAGCGTAAAATGCAGCTTAACACTGCCGTGTTTCATATGGTGAGTGTAGAGAACCGACAACCCTTTCCATCTTAGTCGTCGCGGGTGACAATGCATCTGCATTTTGATTCTTTATTGAGGATAGATGTGGATGTCTATGGGTCACATCAGCCACTTACCATCAGGTGGAGTGTGTGCTCGTTTGTCACCCTATCCTATAAAAAAAATGTTTAAAAAGGTGAGGGAAAGGTGAGAGTGTTCTTAGCTACGATTCAAGAAAATCTTTTCAGCCGTTTGAAGATTTGTTTTTATTGTTGAACTCTTTTTGCTTCAAGGGTTTTTAAAATTTTCAATTTAAGTTATTTGTCAGAAACATTCGATAGCACACAAGAACTTACAAAAGTTTCATCATGGTAATGGTATAGGAATGTTATATGGGACATACAAACACAACCATTTTATATATTTAGAACAGTAGCGTGTTTGCTAATCTTCTTAAATTCTTCAATTTTTTATATATTTTCTTGCAGGTTTAACACTATATGAAGCAGGTGGTGGTGGCCCATTACCAAAGAATGGTCAAGAATGGCATGATATAAGGGACGGCAAGCTACCCGACTTACCAAATCTCTCCAGAGAATTTAATGACCTATTAAAAGTGAGTTTATTAATCTACTTTAGACTACAATAATTTTTATTACATAATAAATAGTAACGGATTAGTAAGCTGAAGTGGCAGTGGGCCGGCCATATAGCTCGAAGAACCGACAACCGATGAGGAAGAAAGGTTCTTTAGTGGCAGCCTCGTACCGGTAGGCGAAGTGTAGGGCGAGCCCCCACGAGATGGAGTGACGAACTGGTAAGACATGCAGGAAGTCGATGGATGCAGGTGGCTCAGGACCATGCTTTGTGGCGTTCCTTGGGGGAGGCCTATGTTCAGCAGTAGACTTATGAAAGGCTGTAATGATGATGATGGTGAATAAATAATATTTATTGAAATTGCAACGTAAAGGCGTTGTAAGAGAATTCAATATCCCATAACAACCCGTGGGTGTCGTAACGGTCGACAGAGCGAAACTCAAACAGGAGATAAGCAGCATCAATCTTCCTGTTAGCAAGTCAATATAATAAAAAAGGTCTATGTTCAGCGGTGGAGTTTTTATATACTACTATTATATTAAGAAATAAGAAACAACAAAACCCAGCTGTTTTTTTTTTCTTCGAAATTAATAGTTATTATTTAAAATCCTAGTGTGGGGTAATAATTTAAACTAAATAAAATAAAAAAATGATTAAGTCATAATATAATGCGTTAGAAACATCTTTGTATTATTTCTATGCAATGGATTAATTTTGTAATACTATACCATTGTCGGCATACTAATATAATAATCAAAGTATAAAGTTGTTTTTTTTAATACAATAATGATGACAAACGAGCACACAGTCCCCCTGATTGTAAGTGGATGCTGTGGCCCATAGACATCTACATTTGTCCTCGATTAAGAATCAAAATGCAGATGCATTGTCACCCCTGAGGATAAATTTTGTAATACTATACCATTGCCAGCATACTAATATAATAATCAAAGTCTAAAGTTGATTTTTTTATAGAATAACGATGATAAACGAGCACACAGTCCACCTGATTGTAAGTGGATGCTGTGGCCCATAGACATCTACATTTGTCCTCGATTAAGAATCAAAATGCAGATGCATTGTCACCCCTGAGGACTAAGATCTCATTTTTCATTAAGCTGCTATTTTACGCTGTGAGAGCGTGGTCCTTCCCCGGTTGAACTGACTCATAATATAGCTGCAGTGTGGTTCTTCCACGTATAAATATTATGATTAAATTTGAAATATACTTGTTACAGAAAATGGTTGACCCCGATCCGGCACAACGTCCCTCCGCTGCTCGATTAAAGAGACATTCATTACTTCATCCTGCTGGGAATAAAACCAAATCACAGCTTAGAAGAGAACTCGCAGCCGCCCGCCTGAAGAACGAACTGCTTTCCAGGAAGTTGCAGGAGGCAGCTAGGTGAGTGGGGACTTGTCAGATTTTCAGTCAACTTCTCAATTCAACTGTGTATTTGTTTTTGTGTGTATGTTATGCGATATCTCCGTCAGTTCTGTACCAATTGTAATGATTCCTAATTATTCCTTTTTATTAAAAGATTATATTTTGGGGGTTGTTCCATTAAAAATTGAAGAAAAAATAACTAAGGGTGGGAAAATAGGGGATGAAGTTTTTATGTAACTATTTAAATAGCATTCTGGTTGTTACCTAGAGCTTGTGATATTTCTCAGTCCACATAAAATAATGAAAAAAATTGTTTCTGAATGGTGGTGGATATTCAAACAAGATGCATGAATTACCATATTTAAGTAGTTTGTCTCTTTTTGTCTTATTTGATAACTAGATAGGCGAAAGTTTTATTAAACTTATCGAATCTCAATTGAAGTCTGTTGAATCTCTCTATGTAGAAAAAATCACAGTTCTCTATGATATAATCCTTTAAGCATGAAATCCCTGTACAAAGGTTACGTTTTGAAAGTTGGGACATCCTATTGGGGAGGCCTATGTTCAGCAGTGGACTTTTAATAGGCTGCATTAAATTTCAAACAAAGTAGGTCGGTGCTTAGCAGTGGCACGTATACTACACTGTAACCTATGATACCATATTCGCTGTGAAAAAAACAAAAAATAATCGATGGCAGATGATGAGCGGGATGAGCAGTATGTTTTTTTTTAAATGAAATGATAAACGAAATTAGGGTCCAAATGATAGGGTAAGTGACAACTGCAGTCCGTGGTCACCTGCAGCCAACTAGTAAGAGGGCTACAGGCGTTGTCACCTCTGAGGACTGAGATTAAATGCCTCACGGCCTATTATTATACCAACTCAATACTGGAACACATTGTATGCAGTGTTATTTGGCAGCAGAAATAACAGACCGAGGAAGTCACCAATAGCCACTGCTGAATTTAGGTCTCACCCATGTATAGCCATTAAGCACAGTGCTCGGCAACATGCAATAATTCTGCATGTCTCACCATTTTGTTGCTTTATATAGTGTAGGGTATCCACACTGTTTGATAGTACGGGATTGCACTTCAATAATACTTTTCCCTTATCATTTGACCAATGCCATTTCAGCTACTGATGATAGTTAGTATTACCGAGTGATGGAGTAATAGTATCACCCTATTTCCTCTCTTTGTTGTCGTAAAATGGGGATATATGCAATACAATGCGATCTTGGGACTGAGTGACACAAGTCAAATCAGTGACTTCCAATAGATGTGGCTGTAACCATCTCGTTTACACCTTTTGTAGTCCAGTAGGGAAGTTAACGGACTGGTGGAGAAGATCCACTAGGTTATGCCAGCTAGTGTTCTATTGCGATATCTTTTGCAAAGGATAATAAGGATGTAAAGGATAAAAAGGATAATAAACTTTAAGGATAGTCGTTGCATAACACCATAATCTAGAATTAATCCAGTCAAACGAAATGTGGACATGCTTTCACTTTTGTACCAGTATTATTAGGCTAGTTTTAACACCCTTTTTTCATGTCAGGGTCCTTCGTTGGCTTATGATCTAACTACAATTTCTTCCGTTGTTTCTTACTTCATAACTCTTATAGCTTTTAATATTGCTAAACATACCAAAGTATACCACTATCTCGGTAACTAACAATTTCTGGGTATACATTGTTAAAAAATATTTACGGTGCTGACATTTTACCATTGATTGTCTGCCAAAGATTATAAAAGAAATACATAGATAGAGAGATATTTAAGGATTGATAATACTAAAAAAAACACTATGAAATATCTAACCTATACTGTATTAAACTATACGAGGTTAAATGTGGAAGTACATAACATTACTGAAAATATTATTCCAGTTAATTTTAATTTCCGCTTTATACTGAATTGGTAATTTCCACCTCTAAGATGCTATAAGTATTTTCTACCATTCTTAATAATTGCTACCGATTAAAACCCAGTCAAAAATCTTACATTCAAATGCTACTAACCCTTCTTGCTTTATAATACCGAATCTGGTAAACAATACAGTATCATATTCATCACCATCTGTGATATCCATCATTAATATTTGAAAATATTCCATTCAACCAGATTTATGATAAGCACCACCCGGACCGACAACACCCAACGCTCCCTCACGTCCATATGACGTCATTCCCTGATGATGTTCACTTATTGACTGCAAGCTTCGGGAAATAATCAAATTGGTAATAATATAATTCTTTGTTCCTTAATTATTAGACTCTACAACTAAATAGAACTTGTATTCCTGTAGTTTGTTCATAAACAATTCACTTCACTGTAGAATTTTTAGAATAAATCTCATCGTAACAAATTACACAGAATTCACATTCGTAGCCTGTAATATTACTAAGTTCATTGCACAACAGCTTTAGGTAGAGATTTGAAAACTAATTTAAAAAAAAAAAAAGTTACCCCGACACTAGACACTCTCCTGTATCGTAGAGGCAATTTACATATTATATAAATTTTACAAGGAAAAAAATCCAAACCCGGAACAATGATTTGAAGGCCAAAGAAATACTTGTTCTGTTCGGGATTTGAACTTGCGGACCCCAGCGCTGCAATTCGTTGCTTAATTACTGCTTCACGGAGGAGTCGAATTATTATATTAACTAACATACATGTGTCGTGTTATGTGGTGTGACATGTATATGTGATGTGTTCATAGACAAGACATACTTTTACCTATAGTTCACTGTAGAATTGTTAGAATAAATGTCATCGTAATAAATGACACAGAAATGGAGATGTTGCCTTTAAGATTTAGATTCTAATAATCACACTCTGTGGTATGTAGGGTTCCATATAGTTAAGATTCGTTTAGATTCTGTGGACATTTTAAATTATATCCAGACAGAAAGGTTCTCGAGTGACAAGCTCGTACCGATAAGCGAAGTGTAGGCCCCCCCTCTCCCCCCACTAGATTGAGTGACGACCCCGTAAGACATCCTGGAACTTGATGGATGCAGGTGGCTCAGGATCCTGTTTTGTGACATTTCTTGGGAGAGGCCTACGTAAATGTTCACTGCTGGACATCAGCCGCTACCATTGTAGCAAGGTTTTTTTTTAATTTATAATACTTCTATTCAATTATTGATTAACAATATATATTTTTCTCGACAACCAAATCCCCGACATTTTGAAATATTCTCAAGATATTTTGGCTTTCCCAACTTTGCAAGGTTTGGTGATTCGTGGTATTAGTACAGAGAAAATGCCATTCTTTGCATAAACAATTTGTAAAAAAAACCTGTCCGATCCTCGGGTGCTTCCTATACCTAAAGTCCGTAATCCTGTAATGTGTTCTGTTTATATAATACTTTTCGGAAAATAAATAAGTGAGTAGGGAAACTTACATGACAACGTATGCGAGTGGGCGCCATACATTTAAAGATATCGTCGCTGACGATGTTATTGCCAGATTTAAAAATTTGCAAAATTTTAAGCAAATTGTAGTAAATGAAAATTTATTTTAAATAACAATAACATTTTTTATACATTAATAATATGATGCTTCAATTTTTGCGGTTCCTATGTTCATCTTTTCGGATCGGAGAGGGTCTTATTTACATATTGTATGTGAATTTCCGATATACTGATTGCTGGGCTTTTGGTTTTCCCTTATCCATTCTTCTGTAGTATTTATTGGATAAGATTCTTAGTTTAAATTTTGTTTAGTTGTTTTTTTTTTATAGGAATAGGGTGACAAACGAGCATACAGTCCACCTGATGGAAAGTGGTTGCTGTAGCCCATAGACATCTACATCTATCCTCGATTACATATCAAAATGCAGATGCGTCGTCACCAGTGTCTAAGATGGAATGCCTCATTTCGAGTAAAAAGGGTCTCCGGTTCTCTACACTCACCATACGAAACACAGCAGCGTTAAGCTGCTATTTTACGCTTGTATTCTGTGAGAGCGTGGTCTTTCCCCGGTCGAGCCGACCCATTCGTGCTAAAACTATATATACCACTAATATAGCTGCAGCATGGCTCTACCACGTCCAAAAGTTTTTGCTATTAACTCCTTTCCTAAGTGCGGAGGATATTATTCTTTAATCACCATTCTTAATCAGGTAGATTGATGATCGCAGTACCAGAAAGTTGTGTAATTTTTCATCATTATCATCATCTTCATGATCATAACAACCTATCAAACTCCACTGCAGAACATAAGCCTCCCCAATCGATTGCCTTATCACGTTGACTATAGCAGTTTCCCTCTGTCGCCTCTTACCACCTTACCCAAGCTGCACTTTTGAAACTAAAAAAGGACCGATAAAGAATAAGTAAAATTATTATTATTATATATTACAGTCCAGTCAAGTCCATTACTAAACATAAGCCTCTCCCAATGAATGCCACAAAGCACCCGAGCCACCTGCATTCATCGATTTCCTGCAGCTCTGAATCCGATTTAACAAGAACGACGGCTCGGCGTAGTGGCTCGAATCGCAGGAACAAGTAATTGTATAGTCTATAAAAATTTGTACCGGGTCTGGATGTTTGTCCTTGTGAAATTTATGTATGTAAACTGCGTCCACGATATAGGAGAAATTCATAAAGTGCGGTAAAAAATATTCTATTTGGATGAAACATCATGATCAATTTGCCTATCTTTTACAGATGCATAAAATCATTAACGCCTAATCTCGTCGCAAATCAAGAGTCGGCCAAGTTTCGTACGAGGTCAGCGAAGCGTCTTCAAACGCCACGAGTCGATTCCAAGATCGCCGACATCATTCAATCTGTGACGTCCCCCAGGATAGACAAACGAACGGAGAGGAGGGGTAAGAAGTTCTAGCATAACTAACGGACTTGATTTAAATAAGTAATTACTCTACGGAATTGAGTTTTGTGAATAATCATTATGATAAATTATTTCAAATTTTGTTTGTCTATAAATAAACAATTGTCTTTATACATGTAATTAAAGAACTTCGTATTAAAAAAAAATTACATTGTAATAAATAATAAGACAAAAGAAAAGAAAAGTACAGTCGGACATGGCAGTAGGGTTATATTAATAAATCACAAATAATATGTAAAAATATAAGTCCAATATGATACAGTTAGTGTAATATATTTTAAGATAATAAACTTATGTAAACAATTAAATAGTTCCTAGAGTAACCTTCCTGCTACAGATTTATATATCACTTACAGATTATTTTAATTCTAAATTTTACATGATACAAACAGAAATGGACTCACCTACGTATATTTGAAGTGACGCCATAACCGTGCTCAAATTATTCTAAGAACACACACACATATATATTCACATACAATATTTAAAGAAAACCTTATCGAATTCGGAAGAGGCACATAGGTACCATAGTTACATTCCCAAAAAAAATTAAACTTTTAAAAAGTAAAAATAGTATTGTTATTTCAAATACATATTCCTATTACAATTTGCAAAAACATTTAAAATCTGGTAACACCGTCTTTAGCGACGGTATTTTTGAACATGTGGTGGCTTTACCCGATGGCTGATTGAAATTTTATTTAACTTTTTGTAGGCTAAATTTTTAATTGTTCTCTGAAAAGGATTATATGAATTATACTATGCACCTAAAATCATTCCCAATGAACATGTTTTATGTAAATGTGTGTGTGTTACAATGATTGTAACTTATTATAAGTTGAGCATGGTTTCACCTTCACTTGTTTAAATACCTATCATCAAACTTCGCCAAGAAAAAAATTGTAAACTTTAAAAAAAAATGCTAAACAATCTCGTGTGTTAGCACAATCAATTTTGTTTGTAATATGGTGTACATATTATATCGTAGACGGTCAGATATTTTGGAAATATTAACATTAATTTTAAAAGTAAGCATTGTGAAATTATAAAAATAAAATTCAACCAGTGTGTCGATTACGGAAGATCTTCCTATTTATGGACTTCTATTTTGCCAAGTTGAAGGCTGTGTCCAGGAAGGTATCCCCTCATGTGCCTGACCATTTTATGTTTTTACACTGCAAGTGTCAGGGGCCGTTCGGGAGGTCGCGCGATACCGACAGGGGCTAATGTAAACAATGGTATATTTTTAATTTTGTATACCAGCTATATATAAAACTTATACGCATTGATTCGTTATGAATTAAGCTTATTAATTCTACTTTATAAATATTAAATTCTATTTTTATTATATTATCAATCTCATTTCAAATATGCGTGACGTAATTTTGCCGGTTTCTTGTACGTGAAGTGTAAAGATTATGAAATTAAGCCATTATATAAAAAGGTATTTGTTTTATTTTTATAACAATACGACATTATATCAAAATAGATTAATAAATCACACCCTCTCAATACATTTTTTCACCCAACAAATTTTTTAATATTTACCTCCTTTTACGCGGTAAAACAAAAACAAGTTAAAATAATCGAAAATGTTCAATTCCAAAACGTTTGAAAACGATACATTATCACTTTGTGTTTAATGTATGTTGTTCAAAGATTAAAACAGCGTTTTATCTTTAAACAACATACGGCGTGTTTAATTGTCAAATGGGCACACGGGGTCGGCTGCCACACTGTCACTCATAAGCTGTCAACCCCTTGCGGGCGTCATGACACATAAGGGGAGGATAACTTTAAAAATCTTAATGACTTGTTTGCAGTTATTTTCTGTTAAGTATTCTTTTTTGTAGAATATTACATTATTATGTACACCATTAAACAAATATTACTATTGTATTCAGGAGTTAAAAGTTTGTTATGGTTTCCATTTTGTATAAGGTAAAATAATTTTTTTGTAAATAATAATTAGACTTCCGGAGTAAAAAACAAAAGTAAACAATATAGGAAATAGAATGATGTTAAAAAACTAATTGAGACCCCTAGACTCCGGTTAATTGTAACAGAAAAACAATAAATATTATGTCTATAAAAGATTTTTGACAGAGAAAAAGCAATAGATAATCTCTTTTTTATGTAACATGGTCTTAAAATTTCCCATACAAAAAACTGATAGTTGAATAAATTTCCCATATTGAATAGTTTTATGGACTACAATAAAAATAGTAAATATAGTTGTCTAGTATGATATTGCACAATGACTTCAGGTTATGTTTTAGTTGTATTTTCATCCTAAACACAATTAAAATAATATCTACATACACTGCATATGTCAACATATGTGTGATCGTTGTGGATACACCTTAATAAATTTTTTTTTCTCTGTCTAAAATGTACTTTAACCATATTACAATTATTGTGAAAAAACGATTGTATGCCGGGTTTCTGTATTTAAAAACGTTTCGTTTTCTTATACGATCCGTTTTGCGGTAAATGAAGTGTATGATAACCCTTTTTTTAAACAAAGTACCAGTTCAGCTATATAACCGTTTAAAGTTTTTTTTTTTTTTCATTTTAGTCATTGCAAGTTGTTCAATGAATAGTTAGTAATATAAACTGTTTTTACACGCACCTCGTATCGTAATAAAAGGGATCGTTACGGAAAACGCTACGTTTTTTGATTATAGGAATCTGGCTTTAGTCTGTTTCCATCCGAAGAAAGCACCAGAAGGAAGTTAGCGTAGAACATTTTTTTTTTTTTAAATTAAACTGTATGCCAATTAATTGCTTCTTAAATGCTCCAGTAAATCCGAAATTGTTCCACCTCTATTGCTATTAGTTAATTTATAATTAATTTAAAAAAAATAATTATCGAAAATTTAATTGTGCTATATAAAACATAAAATATCTATTTTTTAAAATTAAACTGTTTGCCAATTAATTGCTCCTTAAATGCTCTAGTAGAATCCGGAATTTTTCCAATTCTGGAGCATTAAAGGAGCAATTAATTGGCATACAGTTTAATGTAAAAAAAAAAAAGTTCAACGCTAACTTCCTTCTGGTGAAGAAAGCCTATTAAATTGCTCGAAAAATAACCAATCGACAGAAAAGTGTAATAAAACTAATGAGACACCACGAAAACTCAAAACAAAATGGCTAATCAAGTATAAAGTAAAACTATGTGAAGAGTTCTGGTATTTTGTCCCAGATCGATAAAACTTGCGATTTGTTCCCTTTCAATTTGACATAATGTAAAACTAACAAACAATGATCTAATATAATAATACAAAAGTGCCTTTAAAATCTTAAAAATAAAAACAAGTATGTGATTCAATGTGCTTTTTAAACTAATAATTATCGAATTTAGGTGTATTATAATTATTAATGTATGATTTATAATTGAGGAAACGTAAGTTTTGAAATATAATTCTTCCATATTTCCCTTGTGATATTTGTTCGAAATGTTATAGTTAGTTCTGTAGGTGTAAGCTAATGTTCGGTGCTGGTGTTTTGTCTCATCAAATAATGAGAGCTAATAATCTACCGTTCACCAGATGTCGCTAGTTGGGACTGAGGTGAAGTTTTTTTGTTGCACGATATCACATAATTGAGAAGATGCGTATTAAATGAAAATTCATCGGTTTCTAGTATTATATAAATAAATACACAAAACCAATGGCTCAGTGGTTTGTTTCATAATATTTTTCACATTTTAGCAATAGTTTGGTTTATTTATTTCTAATCTAATTATCTAATTAATATAAAATATAATTAATATTGCAAAAAAGAAACATTAACCCTTATATTTTCCAAACGAACTAACTTCCCCACCATTCTATCAAATATTTCATCTCATTCCTAACTAGCGCCGCCCTGATGGCAAAAAAAGTCGTGGATACCCTCATTATCATTGTATTTTACATTTTGAAAGTGTTTCCATCTAAATAACAAAACAAGACAAACATTTTATAGACATAGAGACAAAACTAATTAAGTTCAGAATATCCCAGTTCCCTAATCTAGTTACATGCAGCTTTTTTAAATGAGATGAATAATTTAGTGATTTAGTTTTAACAGAATATTATAAGAAATGTATGTAATATTTATATTAATTTTAATTTTGTATAGATTTAAAAATAATATAACCTTCATATTAAGTATATAAGGCGAGTTATTCGTTTCGATGATTAAGAAATGCTATTTATATAGACTTACAGTCCAAATTGTGCTGGTCGGTCCGCGCGTTCTATCTTGGCCAGGCTGAAGTTGTGCCACTTCATATTTGCTCCTAAGATTGCATAGGGAAACAGTTTGTTTTGTCTCTATCGATTATATAATAAATACACGATATTAGAGAGGACAACGAATTATTTTGGTAACCCCAAAATGACAAAATTTTTCAATAAAATCTTTAATGCACATCATAACCACTATATTTAAAACAATATAAAATAAAATCGATTATTTAAGTAATCGTATTTTAGTTACCTTCCACTTCTCATGTCACCATTTTGTTCCTAAGAACTATAACTGGGCAGCCACTCGCGGCTAACTTCAGCCCGGCCAAGATAGAATGTGCGGACTTTACTTTTTAATTAACAAATTTATCTTTTTCCTTTTTAAACTACCCTCATTTATTACAGTTGTGTCATACAATATCTGATTGTAGATATTTTTTGTTGAAACCTTTTTTTTAAATTCAAAATGTAATCATTTTAAATATTCTTACTGGTGACCGTGACGACTTAAAAAAATTGCATGATTAGTTTTCTCTGTATTTAGGTTTGTTTTGGTATCTCTCTTGCACATTCTAACATGTCCAAAGTAAAAAGAATTTGTTTTAGTAAGTTTGTAAGTTCTAGTTACTATAATGTGCGTGTCCTGAAATTGTATTTGGAATTCTAAGTTTTCTTTATTGAATAGTATAGTTACATTTTTAATTATTACATGTTTTTATAATAACACCAAACTCTTTAATTTTGTCTTCTTAACAG